GCAGGAGGGGGTGTTGCTGCTGGGAATGAAGTTGGGGGGGCACGCTGTGCTTAAGGCTCCTAGCAGGGATGCGGGGGCAGAGCCCGTCCCCGGAGGGGGGAGGAGAGGCTCACGCAGTGTAGCCTCAACTTTGGCGGCTGAGCACGTCCAATCCCCTGTCTCGAGAGGATCAGAGACCTGGAGCCGTACCTGTTGTTGCAGGCTCCCGTGATGAGCCGGTACTTGCCGGCCAGGCACGTGTCTGGACACTCTGGCGGCAGCATGTAGGGGAGGCATCCGGACACGTTCGCGATGACCTGCAGTAGATCTTCCGATAAGGTGTCTGCGGGAAAGAAGAAACCGGAAGCTTTCCATTTGCAGTCACAGATCCACCGATAACTGTTCCGCTGCGGTCTTAAAAGTGGCCCCGGCATCCGAATTTGGGGTCACGTGTGTCACCTAAGTCACTCTTCTGCCAAAGTCTGCCTTCTCCCCGTCAATCAATTGCTCTGTAACGCAATTCCCTGGAGCTGCCGTGTCGCTGGGAATGTGAGTTTTAAAAACTTATTTTTGATTTGTGATCTTTCAGGAAACCGATCTCAGCACTCCCATCCCCAGGGGGTGGCCAGCAAGCCGCGTCTCCGAGTGTCACCAATGCTCACGGACAGGTCGCGCCGTGTGCAGGTAGGGGAGACACAGAACAAGTCTCTTAATAACGAATGTTCACGGAGCAACCTCGGCGTGAAGACTCTACATGAGAACAGCTCGATGAACCTCCGGCTATGACGTGCACTCAGTTATCAGAAGACAACGCGTGTGTTCCTCGAACAGGCACGTAAGCGTGAACCTTCACAGCAGGCAACTGGCCAGTGAGAAAGCACCAGGTGACCACAGCTGCGTAGGGACCAGCCACTGCGGGGAGCAGGCCGGGCACAGGTCCTGCTGGGCGGTGAAGCAGGGAGAACCCTGTCCAGTTCCTGTTACTTTCCTCGCATCCTAAACCCTCCAGACGGGCCTCGCTCAGAGGGAAAACAATCCCACGCAACGGCCGGGACCACGCATCAGCGTGTTCTCCCTGAGCGCCTGCACCCACGGACCTAGGCGGGGAGCCCCGCGACCAGGCGTGAGCCGGGAAGAACCGTGTCCTCCCCGCCAGCAGCGGCTGTTCCCCCAGGAGCCCCAGCTCCTGGCGCCATGGGACAGCGATAAACAGTCCCTGGAAACCTCGCTCAGCCTCGTGGTCAGAAACAAAACCATTGCAAATGGACCTCTGGTTGCTAAAAAGAAAAATCAACTAAATTTCACTGTTAAGTTTAGGATCTGAGAATTCTGGTTAATCCTGGTTTTGCCAAGTTTGTCTTATTCTGAAAGTGAAGTCAACAGCACTAACTAACCTAGCGCTAGTTGGAAGGAAAAACTCAGAGATCGAGTAGTTTATGGCACTGCACCGAAAAAATCCTCGGTAAATTCAGTAAGAGGAAACCTCGCTCCCTAGCTTCCCGTCACCGTGACTGCAGACACGCCTTGCTGCTGCGTTCCTTGTCACCTCAGCATCCTACGTCCACGGGGTGCTCTGGATGGAACGCAGGGCGCCCCTTGTTATGTGTGGTCTCCCGGCAGCTGTCTGGGTGAGCAGCCGCCGTTCCCGTCCTCGCTTTGCAGGCAAACCGGGTCTCCAAGACTCCGGGTCACCCAGCAAGGCCGTGGTCCCCCAGGGGCAGGCCGAGACTTGCGTTCAGTCCTCTACACCCCGAGACGGGCTGCCCCCCACGCAAGCTCCAGTCCTGGGAGGGCTTTGAGATGAGCTCCCCAAGTTTCGACCAGGGAGAGGGGCTGTGGGAAAATCCCTAAATCATTTCCTACCATAAAGCAGGATGTTTAACTGATTAAACCGGTTTTCCTTATTTGATTTGAATGGCAGAGGAGCAGTTGTTTCCCAGATCCACAGAGATCAGATGCTGCGACCGGGGGGTGGGCGTTTTAAAGAACGGCAGCTCCTGTGCCGGGGCGGGCGCAGGAACCACGTCCCTTGCGGTGTCAGGCAGGAAACGTCCCCAAACGAGCCACCGGAAGGGGGTTGGCGGCGGCGGGTCCTTGCAGGGAGAGGGACGCACCGAGGCGCCTACCAGTCGGATGCCGCGGACGCTGGAGTCCCATCACCCGGATGGAGGTCTCCATGATCTCAGCCGCCCGGGAGACGGCTGCGCTCGTCCGCTCGGGCAGCTTGGAGAAGGGCGGAAGCCGCTCGGGGGAAGCGATTTCCCTTTTTCTGAGGTTTCTGCAGCACAAGTAGGAGATGTAAAGTTAGTTATTTACTCACGGTTGCTTTGGTCCTTAATTGCTAGTTAATGAAGCAGGTTTTATTGAGCAACTACCATGTCTCGGCCGAGGTGCCGGGCGCCCTGTGGTGTGCACGTCCGCAGGGTTAGTCGAACGGACGGGACTCGGGCGGGCGCAAATAACGTGTCGGTGTTGGACAGGGAAGGAAACGGCTGACACTGGCCCTCGTAAGACTGCCACATCTGAACTCCTTTGGCTTTCACACGATTGCTGAGGGGGGCCGTCTCACCCTGCCCTGGACACGATTTCTGTCTGCCCCAGCCAGGGAGGCAGGGCACTGGAGCACGCAGCCCCGTCCAGGTCTCACAAGCGCAGGGTGCAGGGACCCGGTCTGAAACCTCACCCTTCTGCTCCAAGGCAGAGAACCGGCTGCAGCCGCAGCGCCGGGCAAGGACGCCATGTACAGCGAGAGTCACAGACGGGCCAGTGGAACGTGAAGTCCACGATCCTGCCTCACCTGCTGGCGTCCTGTCCCCTCCCGCAGGTGCCTGGCTGGCCCCACTGTCGGATTCTCCGCAGCAGCCACAGCGGGGAGCCAGCCTGACTGCTAGCACGTGAGGACCTGGGGTCCCCGGGCAGGCGGGACACGGGAGGCCTTGGCAGTGACGCTTCCCGCACCGTGGCGGCCCAGAGCACTGCCCGAGCACCCGGGGGCGGCCTCACTGGGGACAGAGTGGGCCTCGCCGTCCTCTTCTGGAGCTGCTCGCCCAAGACCGGAGGGGGAGCCGGCCACCTTGGGACGGCGAGGCCGCCGTGGGCCAGGCCCCGGCAGAGGGGCGGAGTGACCGCAGCGGGCTGTGCTCTGGGGCTCCAGACGCCTGCACCCCTCCATCCAGCGTGCAGGATGCCCGGGCCGCGTGCCCACGAGGGGGGGAGACTATTGGGGGACAGTTTCTCCACGTCCTATGGTAACAAAGCTCTATCTCAGCTCACTGTCTCTCCAGCACGTTTGGATGACGACGGGGGGGGGGGGGGGCAGAGGCGGGCTCCATCCCGTCCAACAGCTCATCGCCACACCTCCCAGCAGAGCGGGAGCAGGCCCGGGGAGGGCAGGCTCACTCCCCGATAGGGAAGGCTCAGAGCCCGCACCACACCTTCGACTCACGGGCTCCTCTCCTGGGCCGCCGACCGCCGCCACGTGGCAGTGTCCCTGGCTCTCTGTCGCTCTGTGGCATCGGTCCCAGGGGACTCTGGCCGCACCTGTTACTGAGAGCAAAGTCCCTGTCGTCCTGCCCCATGGAGCTGGGGGGGCCTGGATGCCAGCCCCGGAGCAGGGGCACCTCAGGCCTCCACCTGTGCCCTGACCCTCCTGTGGTCAGCAACTCTGCCGTCACCCCTCCCTTTCCAAAAATGTGCGCAGCCAGCAACCACCCACCAGCGAAGTGAGCGACGAAGACATAATTCAGTCACCAATCTAAACGTTGGGTATTATTAGTTAGAAATTAGTTTCTGTTCCTTGTCAGCTCTAAAGTAACTCACGCCTTCCTTCCTTCCTTCCTTCCTTCCTCCTCCTTCATTCCTTCGTCCTTCCTTCCTATCCTTCCTTCCTTCCTTCCCTCCTCCTGCCTCCGTCCCTCTCTCCTCCTCCGCTCCGTCTCCCTCCCTCCGCTCTCCCTCTCCTCCTTCCTTCCTCCTTCTATCCTTCCTTCCTTCCCTTCCTTCCCTGCCTTCCTTCCTCCTTTTTTCTTTCCTTTTTTTTTTTTTGACAGAGTCTCACTCCTGTGCCCAGGCATACGAGTCGAGTGGGCCATGGCATCCAGCCTGGCTCACAGGGCAACCTCCAAACTCCTGGGGCTCAAGCGATCCTCCTGCCTCCAGCCTCCAAAAATGAGCTCGGAAAGCTACAGGCAACTGCCGCAGCCAATGCCTGGTTAATTTATCTATACGCTTTGTCAGTTGCGCCCAATTAATTTACTTCTATTTTAGTAGACACAGGCGGCCTATCGCCACTCATTGCTCCAGGCCTAGTCTCCGGAACTCCTGACCTTGAGTGATCCACCCCGCCTCCAGCCTCCCAGAGTGCTAGATTAAAGGCACATGTTGCGCCTGTCATGGGCAAAACCCTGGTTCGCCCCTCCCGCCCTTGTCATCAGGCAACCCCATCCCCCCTCCCTGCCTTGTCATGGCAACACCGTCCCCCCTTCCCGCCTGTCATGGCAACCCCGTCCTTCCTGCCCTGTCATGCAACCGCCCGCGTCCCGCCACGTGGCCGCGCCCTGTCATGGCAACCCCGTCCCCCTCCCTGCCTGTCATGGCAACCCGGTCCCTTCCACCGAGCGCCACGGAGACCCCGGCCCCCCCCCTCACCTTCTCCATGTCGGCGCGCCGGATGGGCGCCGTCCACAGGACCCGCCACAGCCTGCCTCTGGCTTCCAACGACGCTGGTGACGCGGGCGTCCTCGGTCTCTGCTGGGGACGGAGCACAGCGGGCGTGGCCGACTGCTCTGTCACCCCTAAGCTGCCGTCCGCCAGGCCGCGGGCTTGAGGGCCCGTGGCGGCCACCAGGAACTTCCGTGGTGGCAACAGAGGGTTCCTGGGGGAGATTATTTACCGCACCGCACGCTAAGCGTGTCCCCAGAGGAGAAACATTAGTCCCCCCCTGGGCAGGGGCTGCCTGGGGGTCGGGACGCGCCGTCGGCACTTAATTCCTCACTCACCGGACTCTCCTAGTGAGTTTGAAAAACTTCTTTCCTGAATATTTTAGTTGCCTAAATTAGTGATAAAGTCCATAATAAAAATCACCCATTTGTATGTCTAACAAATGATAAGGTGTTCAAATATACCAGCGCTTTCCAACAAAAACACGCTTATTTGTTGTAGCACTTGGAAAGGTTAGGCAAGGTGACGGACCCGCACTTCCAGGTGGAAAGCGTCGCTGGTCGAATTGGCAGAGACCGGGCCAAGGCGTCTGTCGAGGCATAAAAAAAGGAAGTGACGTGAGGTGCCGAGCTAACTCTGTGTCGTCAACACTTCGTTAAAGGGAAGACACCTGCTTCTAAACATAAATAGAACGTCAGATGTTTTTGAGCCTTACACATCTATGTACAAAACCTACTTTTATGTTTGTTTTTTTCTTTTTTTTGAGACAGAGTCTCGCTCTGTAGCCCGGGCTAAGAGTGCCGTGGCGTCCAGCCTACCGCCACAGCAACCTCAAAACTCCTGGGCTCAAGCGATCCTGCCTGCCTCAGCCTCCCAAGTAGCTGGGACTACAGGCATGTGCCCACATGCCTGGCTAATTTTTGTATATATTTTTTAGTTGCCAATTAATTCTTTTCTTTTTAGTAGAGATGGGAATCTCCTCTCAGCTGGTTTCGAAATCTGGACCTTGAGCAATCCACCTGCCTTGGCCTCAGAGTGCTAGGATTACAGGTGTGAGCCACCGCGCCCGGCCTTTATGTATTTTAAAAAATTTTTTTTCTAGGGATAGAGATGGGGTCTCCCTCTGCTCAGGCTGGTGTCGAACCCCTGAGCTGCAGCGTTCCTCCCACCTCGGCCTCCCAGAAAGCTAGGAGTACAGGCGTGAGCCACCGTTCCCAGCCTAAAACTATTTATAAAAGGTAGAATTATTTATCTTTAGAATTAAGTATCGCGGCGTATTCCAGAAAATAAACTAATGAGTAAGCCTGACATTACTGGGCTGTCTGACTGCCTGTGTCCTAAATATTTAACTAGTAATGATTTTTTCAGCTTCAAAATATTCTAATGAACAGTAAAATGCGTTCCAAAGTGCATTATCAGCAATTGCTGTAATCGTATTACTTATATAGTCACCGAAAATTTAAGCAAAAAAAAAAAAAAGTCAAGTCTCTCATAGATGGAGAAATAGTAACAAAAAATTGTTCTAGCAAAGCTAGAGATACTGCCTATCCTGACATTTAAAAAAAATACAATTTCTAAAATAAAAAACACGGTACACAATTTTTTATGTGTTGTTAGATATCTTGTGTGCATAGCAATTTGCTCGTAACTGGCCACTGGACTTCCGACTTTTGCCACTATTGTCTCATGCCGCTAGGACTGTAGCAAACGTGAAATAAGAGGGCAGAGCGATTAACTCACAAGCGACTTGCTGAGCACTGACCATGCTCCCTGTTCTAGAAGGACTGACTCACTGCGGGAAGACGCGAAATCACTCTTCCTTGAGGGACTCCAACACGGGGGCCGGTTTTACTCTTTCTAGCGCTGGCCGGGGCAGTGCACGCCCGGCTCCAGTGCAGAATCTCACTCTGCTCTCCAATCTCGACTGCGGTGGGCGATTCTCCAACTTCCCCGTTTGCAGCGCACGCTCGGCGCCGGGGCAGGTGGCAGGAGGGGCCCCCGCTCGGCCGGACCTCACAGTGGTGTGACCGGAGGTGCTGGCCGTGCATGTGCAGGGGGCTGTCCCGGGGCACAAGTCTGTGAGGGGCCGGGACATGTCCTGAGCTCCCGTGCTCAGGAAAGTTGAAAAAAAATGTGGGTCCCAGCGGGAGGCAGGGCCGGGTGTGGCCGGTGGACGGGGCAGCAGGGACTGGAGGGGAGACGGAGATGGCCTCCAATTTGGGGGGGGGCACGAGCAAGGTCCCGACGGTGGCCCGACAGGCCGGGGATGACGCCAGGGAGGCGTCAACTGTCCCAGGGGCCAGAGGGCGTCCACAGGGCTGACATTTACAGGCAAACGCCCCTTTGCAGATGCTCATGTCAGTGCCACTTGTTCTCAGGGTTCGGGACTTAATTTATTGTTTGTTTGTTTTAGCAAAAGAAAAGCACAGAGTTTGATACGTGATTATTTTAACCGCTGTATCTAGTAGCTTTCTTAGCCTAATTTCACACTGCAGCACTCTGAGTCCAGAAATCACACCACAGAGGTCATTGAATAAAAGATGATTTTTGTAGGAAAGAAACAAAATGACTCCCGTAGAAATTTTTATTTCAAATGTGCGAGCAGGAACGAATGGACGTTTCCTGTTGTGTACTCAGAGGAAAATCAGCTCTTTTTCAGAAAGAATTATGCAATATCAGCACTGCACTCCTTCTAAACGTAAGAATCACAACTTTTCCTCGTGAAACATAACGAAACATACCCTTACAGGGTCCTGCCTGACTCTCAAAGCCACCACTGAGCTGTCTGTTTTGGTAATTTTGAAAAGTGGTTTTATAAAATAAAACGTATGTTCTTTGTCACCTACCCCAGCGGAGTCCCTTGCCTCCCCAGACGAAAGGGAAGAGGACTCCAGTGCAGGCCAGGACCAGCGCGACAGCCAGGAGGACCACAGCCGCTCGCATCCTGAAACCGAAACGGGGAGACCACAGGTGCCGTGGGGGCGCGAGGAGCCGTGGGCCAGACCCTGCAGCGGACTCGCTCCACCTGGGCCGCGGGGCTCGGGGCTGCGGTCCGGGGAGTCCGAGCCCTGGGGCTGGGCGGGCTTCAAGTGTCCCAGTGATTCCAAAAGAGGTTTTTCATATCACATCACCAAAATATCTCGGTAACAGCTTATTTTAATTTACGATGCTGCCAAGCAGTGTGAAACTACTGGCAATAGTTACTGGGAATCAAAGACATACATTTCCCCTAATTCATCTAATGTGGCAAAAGGTGAATCATACTAGGAATTGAGCCCTTATTAGCGGGGGCAACCAAGGCCCTAAATGCCCACTGAATTCTCACAGCGTTCTCACGCTTATAAAATGATTTCAGAGCTACCGAGTTGTTAAGACACAGTGGAAGAGTCAATCATTTCCACTCTCAAAATCTTTGTTTTCTTAATCTTAGACTTCCGGTAGCCATTTCCAAAGCACTAATGCTGCTGAGCGGGGCGGCACCAACGGGGACATTCTGACAGGACCACATCTCGGTAACGCTGCCCCGCGGACCCACCCACGCGCCGCTGCGGGGCGGCCGAGCCGAGCTCACGGGAGGCGCGGCAGTGACCGGCGGCCAGCGTGGCGGAGAGAAGCCACCCACGCTTGCCACGCAGCCCAAACCGTGGCCTCTCTCGGGCCACTTTATGAGTTTCAAGGATGGTTTCCTCTTAGAAAACGGAAAAATAAAAAAATTTTGCAACCTCACCTTTTGCTCTTCTCAGCCAGGGACTCCAGCGTGTGCTGTTGGGGACCTTATCGGCGGCGGCAATTCTTCTGAAACGTGAGCCCCGACAGCTGTCCCGGGACGCGGCTGCCGCTATATAAACCAGTGCCACGCTCGGATGCCCGGTCAAGACGAGAGGGGCGGCCGGGCTCCCGTCCCTGCAGGGACAGAACGTTCCCAGGACGTTGTTGTGTTTGCACCAAGCTTCTTGCGTGTCCCCACTGTTCAGAAAAAAAAAAAAAAAAAAAGCAGCACGTCATCTGGGTCCACGTGAGGGCCAGCCTCTGGCCATGTGATTTAGGGGAAAAAAGGAAAGAATATCTGTGTGAGAGAAAGAAGAAGACAACAAAAACGAGCCCCTCACAACACTGACATTTCTTGCCTCTTCCTGTCCTCAGCTGGACGCTGCACTAAGGCCGCTGCCCAGGGCCACGGAGGATCCGTGGGCAACTGTGGGCTGGCTGCGTGCGGTCCTGAGCCCTTGGTGTGCTCACTGCTGGGAGGGGAACGCAGTGTGCTTTCCCAGTTTGCTGGGGTGAAAGATGGGCACAGACCAGGATGTGCTCACACAGGCCACAGTGTGTCCCCACTCGTGGGGCTGTCACGAGGCACCGCCAGGGCAGAGAGACCCGGGAGGAGGTCCCCAGGCTGCGCTCTGAAAGTCAGGAGGCAAGAGGGCCTCGTGGTCAGTCTACATCCAGGTTTCCCACCTGACCACACAAATGATCACACTGACCTGTGCCTTCGATGGCTCGCTCGGGCCAACACAGCATCAGCGTAAGGACTTTCATTCCCGGCCGGGTGCTAAGCAGAGCCCATGTCTTCCCCGTTAAGGAAAAAGTGAGCAGGAAGCACCGGAGAAGACAGAATCTCCGAGGATCGCATGGCAGGGTGAGAAGCGGAGGGACCCGGGGCGGGACGGGGCACGCCCTGCTGGGGCAGCTCTCTCCGGGGCCAGCAGCATGTGTGCGGGAATGTGCGTGTGCATGTGCATGTGTGTGTCCATGTGCATGTGTGCATGCATGTGTGCGTGTGGAGGCTATGAGCCGAGACCACGTCCGTGGTGAGGCAGGGCTGGGTTCTGGACGGTTCTTGGACGGCTAAGAGAGAGCGAATGTTTTCATTATTTTCGGGGCTCTGCCCAGGTGAGCTTGGTGGCAGGAGGTGGGAGGTCCCCAGCAGTGACCGTCTGTCTCTGGTGGATGGCGTGTGTTGGGGTGGGGCTGGCCCCGCATTCCCCATGCACCCCCTCCCTGGAGTCTGACTGACTGCAGTCCCAAGCCCGGCCCCGGGGCCCGCACCCAGGCATGGGCAGCCCCCTGGCCACCCGCAGGCCACTGTCCCCAAGTGCTGTGACTTGGGAGGGAGGAATCTGAGACGGGAGGAAGAGGGAGTCCACGGCAGTAGGAGGAACTCAGGCCAGACCGCTGGACAAAGACCACGCAGCAGTGTGCGTGGCAGATAAAACTCGGGCACCCACCTAAACTTGAACTTCCATCACCGGTGGCCTCGGCTGCGGAAGGCGGAGTGTTCGGCCCGCCAACGGCCAGGACCCACGGCATTGACCGCACACACGCTGCGTTTCAGCTTCTTCACGCACCACCCGGTTCATTCTCACGTGCAGCTCTTTGCCGTTCATCCCTGAGCCGTGCAACCAGCTGACCTTGCTCACCGAGGATTGATCAAGACGCCACGGCACTCCTGGGATGCCAGAGCCTCCCGCGGCAGGGGGAGGGCGCGCGGGGCTCACGGCTAACGGAGCACGCAGTCCGGGGCCCATAACGACCGGCTACTTGATTAGCAGGGAGTGGAGCTACGACGGTAGTGACTTGAGCTCTCTGATTTAATAATTAACTTAGTGCACACGTGCACGTTGGTTAGGAGCTCGCACAGCCCCAGCCGTAGACCAGTCAGCACGAGCGGCGCGTTCACGCAGGCGCCAGGCCGGGCCCCTCTGCGCTGGCTGCCAAGGGCCCTGCGTGTCTGCGTGGTCGAGTGGCCTCCCGTGGTTCGGAAAAAGGACACGCTGGGACTTTGGCGTCAGGCGGCTCAAGGAGCGGTCACGCCTTTCAGCTGCTCTGTGAAGTGTGGAGAGAGTCCCTGGTTCCCCTGAAGGGCCTTCCGGAAGTTTCCACAGCACATTCGCAGAGCGGCATGCAGAAGGCCCCGGGGGCAGGCAACGTTAGGATAAAGCGGGACCCCCGAGCTTTCCTCGGGGCTTTATCACGACTCGTCTTCACGGCGCAGGCCTGAACACGGGGGTTTCAGAGAGACAGAATCTTCCCTGATATAAGAAGAGTAAGAAGGTTGCACACTTACATTCTTACGTTTTTTTGTGCATTTAAGTTGCCGCAAGGGATACTCGAAGCGTTAATGAGTGTTGGGGATATTGTGCTCTCGTGGTGTATTGAATGTTCTGATAACCTCAGTCTTGCACTGTGCGTTAGGAATGGCGCTGTTTGGCGGGTCATGAACAAACAACTAAACGACTCTCCTGCAATGCCCGCGTCATCTGACGACCCGCTGAAGCACGAGAGAGGGGAGTGGTTTGGAAGATTGGCAGAAGTAAATGTGCCGTTCTTAAAAAGAAATAAAACGTCTTTGCTTTTGTGAAAATGAGAAATGCACAGAGGGACCCGCCCGCTCGGTCGGTCTGCGAGAGGAGTTCAGGGGTTGCGCATGTGGACAAACCCCGTGAGTTCCTGTCATCTCTCTCAGCCCCTCAGTCTGCACCTGCCCGCACCGCTCGGCAGACACCTGCAGCTGCTCCAACTGCTCGGCCGACACCCGCACCTGCCCCAGCCGCTCGGCCAACACCCGCACCTGCTCACACGGCTTGGCTGACACCCGCACCTGCTCCAGCTGCTCGGCCGACACCCGCACCTGCTCCAGCTGCTTGGCTGACACCCGCACCTGCTCCAGCTGCTTGGCTGACACCTGCACCTGCCCACATGGCTTGGCTGATACCTGCACCTGCTCCAGCTGCTCGGCTGACACCCGCACCTGCCCACACCGCTCGGCCGACACCCGCACCTGCTCCAGCTGCTCGGCTGACACCTGCACCTGCCCACACGGCTTGGCTGATACCTGGACCTGCTCCAGCTGCTCAGCTGACACCTGCACCTGCTCACACGGCTTGGCCGACACCCGCGCCTGCTCCAGCTGCTCGGCTGACACCTGCACCTGCTCCAGCTGCTCGGCTGACACCTGCACCTGCTCCAGCTGCTCGGCTGACACCTGCAGCTGCAGGTTGTGAGTCTGGTACTTCGGCGCTTCTGCCAGGTACGGCCCTCACTCCTGGTAGGACTGAGCGTGAGCCCACTGGTATGTGGGAAGGCCCTTTACTGACACGCACATGTTTTGTAGGATGTTTGGAGAGTGGTGGCAGCACACTCGGTCTGTCTACGTGAACACACAGATCGGAGCCCAGGCGCTGCGTCCCCAGGAAGCATCTGACCCGAAAGGCCACGCGTGGAGACTGACGCATTTTATCCACACACTCCTGCAGCACCCACAGCTGTGCTGACCCCTCACACCCGGTGTGTGTCCCCTGAGTGTCCCTGTCAGCCTCCACCTGCACAGCGTGAGGTCCCAGCCACCGGCAGGTGACACGTTTAAGGAGTGGCCTGGAGGTGGCCAAACCCCAGGCATGTTCCTTCCAGGTCTGCGACCTTCAAATAATGACCAGGCCACGACGACTCCTTCCTTCAAAGCGTGTCCTGTGCAGAGATGTGACGCAGGCCCACCTCGTTCCAGGACTCTGCCCCTCCCACTCGCCCTTCACCTGCCGGCAGGGAGAGAGTAGCTGTGTGACAACGCTGTCCCTACCTGCCAGCAGAGAGAGGGCACCTGTGTGACAATGCTGTCCCTACCTGCCAGCAGAGAGAGGGCAGCTGTGTGACAACGCTGTCCCCACCTGCCAGCAGAGAGAGGGCAGCTGTGTGACAACGCTGTCCCCACCTCCCAGCAAAGAGAGGGCAGCTGTGTGACAACGCTGTCCCTACCTGCCAGCAGAGAGAGGGCAGCTGTGTGACAACGCTGTCCCCACCTGCCAGCAGAGAGAGGGCAGCTGTGTGACAACGCTGTCCCCACCTGCCAGCAGAGAGAGGGCACCTGTGTGACAACACTGTTCCCACCTGCCAGCAGAGAGAGGGCAGCTGTGTGGCAACGCTGTCCCTACCTGCCAGCAGAGAGGGCAGCTGTGTGACAACGCTGTCCCCACCTGCCAGCAGAGAGAGGGCGCCTGTGTGACAACACTGTCCCCACCTGCCAGCAGAGAGAGGGCACCTGTGTGACAACGCTGTCCCCACCTGCCAGCAGAGAGAGGGCAGCTGTGTGACAACGCTGTCCCCACCTCCCAGCAAAGAGAGGGCAGCTGTGTGACAACGCTGTCCCCACCTGCTGGCAGAGAGAGGGCACCTGTATGACAATGCTGTCCCCACCTGCCGACAGAGAGAGGGCAGCTGTGTGACAACGCTGTCCCCACCTGCCGGCAGACAGAGGGCACCTGTGTGACAACGCTGTCCCCACCTGCCGGCAGAGAGAGGGCACTCCTGTGTCATCACAAAGGAAATGCCTCCGGTCCTGTCCACAGGTTACTAAGGGCTGAGGCACACAATGACCTTGGACGTTTGTGCCACCGCAGCATTGTGACCTCACGTGGGGTCACAGACAGGAAGACCCTTTCTGGGGGCAGAGCTCTGTGGGACGCAGGTGGTGCCACGGGGCAGGAGCAGTCAGTCAGGCCCCGGCGTTGGCATCCTCAGATGCCAGCCGGGTGTGCCATGTCCGGCTGCCCACGCCTGCGGGCAGAGGCCGTGAGTGGCGGTGGCGTTGCCAGGACGGACAGCAGCACTGAGAGCCGGGCTCTTCCTGCGTCCTGAAACAGGCAGGCACAGAAGGACAGGAGTCCATTGCACAGTCTCTTGACAAAATAGAAGAAATACCTTGGGATTTTGAAAGAGATGTGATGTTACTCAGCCCAGCGCTTCAGCCTGTTCAGAATCGTCCGGCTGCAGAAAGGCTCTGGGACCCATGAGCGTCAGGGCGCATAGCTGCTCACACCCAGGACATTTCTCCAAGTGTGGGGATGGTAAAAATAATGCAATTGTCTAAAAAAAGAGTCTACTTTAGCACACAATCCATTTAAATATCTTATACTGTCTCAGCAAAATAAATGACATGTATTTCCTCTTGGATTCAAGAAATAACTATAGGATTTAACTTTAGGGCCACAATCTGTGCTTGAGAGGCAGGAAAATGAAGAGATGCCCAGCCTGTGTGGAAGTCCTGGTCCATGTGGGAGACAGACCTTGACAGTGGAGGGAGCACATGCTTAGGAGAGTCCGGGCCAGAATCTCTGAGGACACAGAGGACACCCAGACATTGGACAGCATAAAGAAAGCTTTCTTGGAGGAAACGGGGGAGTGGAAGTCAGGGAGAGGAACAGAGTTCACCTTGGGTCGGTGGATGGATGAGTGTGGGAATGGGTGGGGTGGGCATGCATGGATGGCTGGGTGGGTGAAAGGATGGGGGTGGGAATAGGTGGGGTGGGTGAAAGGATGGGGGTGGGAATAGGTGGGGTGGGTGTAGATGGATGGTGATTGGGTAGATGGGGGTGGGAATGGGTGGGGTGGGCATGCATGGATGGATGGTTGGACATATGGAGTGGGAATGGGTGGGATGAGCATAGATGGATGGCTGGTGGGATAGATTGGGGTAAGAATGGGTGGAGTGAGTATGGATGGATGGAGGATTGGATAGATGGGGGTGGGAATGGGTGGGGTGGGTGTGGATGGATGGTTTGATAGATGTGGGACATGGGTGGTGGGTGTGATGGAGAATGGATGGATGGAGAGATGGGGGTGGGAATGGGTAGGGTGGGCATGGATGGATGGATCCTTGGATAGATGGGGTGAATGGTGGGTGGCGTATGAATGGATCTGGATAGATTGGGGGTGGGAAGGGTGATGCGTGGGTGTGGATGGATGGATGGATGGATGGCTAGTGGATGGGGTGGGACTGGTGGGAGTGGGTGGGATGGATGGATGGGATGGAGAGATGGGGTGGTGAGATGGGTGGGGTGGCGGGGATGGGAATTTGGATCCTTTTGGGGGGATAGATGGGTGGGGAATTGGGTGAGGTGGGTGGGATGGATGGATGATGGATGAGAGGATGGGGTGATGGGTGGGTTTGGGTGATGGAGGATGAGGATGAATGGGGTGAATGGTGGGGTGGTGTGGTATGGGTGATCCTTGGATAGATGGGGTGGAATGGTGGGTCAGGCGTGGGATGGATGGAGGATGGGAGGGATGGGGTTGGAATGGTGGGTAGGTGTGGATGGATGGAGGATGGAGAGGAAGCGGTAATGGGTGGGTGGCGGGTGATGGATGATGGATGAGAGTGTGGAATGGGTGGGGTAGGCATGGATGGAGGATGGATGGAGAGAGGCTGGGAATGTTGTGGGTGGTGTGGGATGGGTGGATCCTTGGATAGATGGGGGTGAATGGGTGGTGGTGTATGTCTGGATGGATGAGAGGATGGGTGGGAATGGGTGGGGTAGTGTGGATGGATGGTATGGATGGAGGATGGGGTGGAATGGGTGGGGTGGGTGTGGGATGTTTGAGGTCGCCAGGCCCAGAGGTTCTGGGGGCCATGACGTCCCACCACGTAGATGACGGCCAGCAAAAGAGGGGTTACTTCATTGCAGGTTCGACTGCACTCACAAGCTCTCCCTGACGTCAAACCATGGTCTCTAACTGTCACACTCACTTTTGACATCACGCGAGGGACACGACGTTCGAGAGGTAGTTGGAACCTGAGGCGTTGACTGCTAATGCTCCACTGTGCTACTTTATCGTCCCAAACTCTGGGATGAAAGCAAAAACCAACCAAACAGGAATCTCCCAATCCGTACCTACCTGTTTGAAAATCCCGCCCTGCCTTTCCCATGCTGGGCAGACGGGCAATCGGGTGGACACCCGACCAGGGGCGGAGGAGGACTGGGTGTGCGTCAGCGGAGACTGTTCAGCATATCGAGGCGTTAGGAACGTCCCCAAAGTCCCGAGACCTCACAGGGATGTGGGCATCAGCCCAGCGCTCCCGCCCACTGTCCGGGCTCCTGCCGGCGTGGCTCTGCTGTGCTGGACGCCCAGAGGGGGGAGCCCTCACGGAACACGTGACAATGGGCTCAGCATGCAAACGCCAGGTCACGCCGGTGCCAGTAACCTGACCAGCAAAGGGCACCGGCTGATGTAGAAACAGAGAGTTCGACTAAATCCCAAAGGTAAAAGACTCAGAGAGAATCGTTTATGTTCCGAGAGGTTTTTTAAGTTCTAGAGTCAAATGCAATTAGTATTATAATGTTTTTCTTTGATAGCTGAGACGTGTGCTCTGAGGCTGTGAAAATTCAGACCCTAAGATGAGAGTACAGTTGGTGCCGCTTGTTCTAAAGTTGGTTCCTAGTGCTCAGCTCCCGTCCTCACTAAGATGACCGCGACGTACTACACACCCTCCGTCACAACCCACTGCTGAATTGCTTTCTCTCTTCTCAAATCGGTTTCTGCTCTTTAAGTTCCGTCTGTTCCCCTTGGCTTGAAAGCCTGATTTTGAGCTGTGACCGTGTCTCCCTGACCTTTTCGGGGACAGGTTTCCCTCTTTCCCAGGACACAGGTGAGTCACCGGCTGGCTCTGCCCCGTGAAAACCAAGGTGCTTAGTCCATGCGGAGCCTGCGTCCGGGACGGGCAGCCAGGTGGCCGTGCCACTCCCCGGCGGGAAGGATGTAGAGCTCGCAACTTCATTCCCTCCCCGTTCAGGACTGGGGGTGTTTCCAGGCTCCTCATAAAATATGTAAATAAACTTTAGAGATGAATATTCATCAACCACTATCACTAAAGAGAACCGCCAACGCGGAATCACATTGTGCCAAATACTCCTAAATAAATCGTGCATTCAATCAGGTCCAGGAACACAGACTGAGACAATTTCCAAAATAATATACTTTCACTTTTACTAGTGCTTCATCAGTGAGAAATTTTTCTGTTTTTATTGTTCAAATGGGAAATAAGTGCAAAAGGAACAGAGGGAAGCGGGTTCACGTCAGTAACTTAACAGCTGTTGTTTTCCAAGGAAGCGGCAAAGACAGCACATGCCCCGCACAGCCAGACCCCACAGGCCTGCGTGGGGAGGTGAGAGTCCGGAATGTTCTTTCCTTGCAGATGGAGGTGGCCCCGTGGTGGGAGGGCTCCGGGCCACAGTGGCCTGGGCTCCCTGCCAGTTCCTTAGTGTAGACGGTGGGACAGTCGACGGTGGCTTCAATAGTGGCCGATTCCCTGCAAACTTCCCCTTCTCCACCTGAGAGTGAGACCAAAGCCCGCACCTGCACCCCAGGTAGGGGGTGTGCCGGTGAGTTTTCAGTAAAAGTTGCTGCAGGGACTTGCAGGTGACTCTTGCTACTTTCTCATGAAAATTCAAAGCTGAGAAGATTTTAGAAATACCTGCACATTCCAAATAAAAATAGAACCGTTTCTGACCTGGCCCCCCATCCCCTGAAGAGCCTGGGCCAGGTGCAAGGAAGTGCTGAGACGGCCTGAGGGGTCTGTTTTCCAACAATGCAATAATCGGTCGTTGTCTCCCGAGGAGAACGGCCCAAGTCCTGGGACACGGCCTCACCACGTGAGTCTGTAGCAGGTTCGCGACGCCGGGCGTGGCCACCCGCAGGCAGGGGCTGATGTGAGCAGGACGGACGGGGGGGGGGGGGTGGTGGCCCGCCTGCTGCGTTTTATAAGAAAAGACTTTCGCTGTCTGTTAACTCTACACAGCGCACCTTTCAGAAAGAACCGTATAGGTGTGCAAAAATAAACTTCAGTATCAGATCTTCCGGGGAAAATATTCTTTTCATTATTATCCAGTAAGGGCAAATTTTTTGAAACTACATTGTTTTCATAAAAACTAACAAAAACCTTCAGTTTCTCCGTTCCTTCGTGCAAAAAAAAAAAAAAAAGAACTTATTTTTGAGTGGGCTTAGGCTTTGTGGTATAAGGGAAGAAAATGAACATCTGCTCAATTTGGAGATCAAAATATCCACACCACAAGAGAAGCTGGAGGAAGGGAAATTTCTAAGTTTATCTTTTCTGTTGGTGAATATTTTATAAAATTCTAACTCCTATTTCTATCTCAATACCGATAGACGGACTGGGTCTGAGCATGGACAGTCTGAGCACGAACACCTGCACAGAACAGTGTTTTCTGGGGCTCTGTGATCACCGTTCACGTGGAAGACCATTATCTTAAAATTCACTTGAAATATTCTGCTTCTTGCCAGAGTCTTCCATGGAAGCCGTTAAAATGTTAATGAGAATTTTATTTACAATATATATTACATACACATACATAGATGTATATCCTCTAAAAAGGAGGATATATTTCCAAACACATAAAACCAGTGATTATAAATATTTGATATATTAAAATATTTCCTTCCTCCTAAATATCAGATAAACAAGGGGTGGGGTGGAGCTGGGAATGATTGTTAAAATCTTAGTCACCTCGTGGAACATCAAACCTGTAGTGTTTGCACATTCTGTTCCCTGTTTATTTTGTCATATTCCTATACTTTACAGGTGGATAGCTTTATGTCATCCTTTATTGGAAGCCTTGGTAGATAAGTGCATAATGATCTTGACTTTTCCCAACTAGTCTGTATTCCTAAAAGAAAACCCAAGGAACTCCAGTAAATTGCTTTTATAATAAATAACAAAAATATAAAGTGTCCCTTCTTGGAAGTCAGAGACAATATGAGAAACAAGGGAACTAAATTACAAGCTGTATTTGGTGACTTTGGAAAATAATTAAAATTCACATTTAAATGATGTGTACCATTCAATATTATAAATTACATAATTATATAAAAATTAATGTATAAATACTTAATATTAAAATTAAGTAGAGTTGGTTTCCTTGTCCTGCGTATTCCGACGGTCCCCCCGCTTTCCCAGATGGTCGACACTCCGCTGCCCATCAGAGAAGACGGGCAGGTGACCCCCAAACCCAGGGGAAGCCCTTCCCTCCTTGAGCAGAAACAAGCTGAGCTCTTGGCATCTTCTGCTGCCTGTTTTGTGAAAATCAAGTCCGGGTTTCACAGCGTGGCAAGTGGGGGCGCAGCGTGGACACTGCATGTGTCGTCTGGAGGTGCCCACGGGGTGCTCGATCTCCCGTGACCCCTCCTAGCCACAGCTCTGTGAGACGTAGATTTAACAAGGTGACCCATCTTTGGAAACTAGTGACGTATTTTATTGGTATCCCAACTATAGAGGCTCATTATAAAATCACACAAAGTTGCAATGCTGTGCAGGAAAGAATCGTTTCGTAAGAAAATAATTTACTCTTCCGGCACCCGGCAGACGCAGTCTTCAGCTGCTGTGCGTGTATTTTCTCGCGATGCTCTGGCTGTCCACGAACCCGGGGTCCACCGAGGCCACCTTGGCCGCGATGAAGGCGTGTATGCAGTGCAGCACCGCTGCCAGGTCCTGAAACTCTAGCTCCTGCAAGAAAGAAATATGATTAAACGTGTTTATTATCATTATTGGGAAAGTGCATCAAAAAAAATATTTAACAGATTTCTGTACTTTGTGATCTAAAAGAAAGTAAAATGCACATGAAAGAAGTCAGTAAAAGGCAGAGGGATATGATAAAAAGTTGGCTACACGTATAAATACACTGCTTTGCAGGAATTAACACTCGGACAATTGGATCATTCTCCCTTATGCCTGAGGAGCAGGTGCAGGTGCAGGAACAGGTTGAGATCCTGACCTGGGCCTCGCCGGCCCGGCAGGGCGGATTTCAGGCTCCTCCACATGGGAGCCCCCAAGAATGTGGGTCTCCCCCACATTCAGCTCTGCGGGCGCTGAACATGTGTGCGCGGCAGGTCCCAGCACAGCCGGAGTCCTGAGGACCCCGAGCTTTGGCCCCATCCTGTCACCATGGCAACAGGGTGTGTGTGTGAGTGAGGATGCTTCAGGTGGCGTCCCCACCAGGAAAAGAAAAAAAAAACACGCCTGAAACAAACTGCTGATAGTTAACCTCCCCATTTTAAAGATTTCCAAAGGTTTAAAGTCAAAAGGGACCCGCAAACTGTTCTTCCCACAGACTTCTCCACGTGACAGCCCCAGGCCAAAGCGACACCACGGCGACCTGACCCCTAACACTGAGATAGAAGTCGAACGGTGTTTAGAAGTTGTTCAGTTGTTGGGAACCACGATCTCAATGCTTTTGACGGTGGATGTGCCTCCTCGCTGTCCTGCCGCTCGCTCCGTTCTGCGGGCGGGAGGGAGCCTTAAACGCACTCTCTCCGCCCACGGCTTCTCTGTCTCCCAGAGTAACCCGACTCCGGTGTGATGACAAGGGCAGAAGCCCTTTTAAGGTGGCTGCCACCGGACGGACATGTAGTCACTATATTTCACTGAAATTCCAGCACGTCCTAAACTGCTCAGATGGTGCTGGAAAGAAAGATAGATCGTTTCCAAGGAAAAGGGCGACCGCAGACCCAGGCCTGGCGACCCCACAGCTGGGCTCCTCTGAGCCTCTGTGAACGCAAGGAACTTGAGGTTTTCACTGCAGGGGACGAGGGACGGAGAGGACAGAGCCCCTGCCCCGCGCCCGGCGGGAGGGGAGGCAGCACCTCCCCAGGTGGCCCCCCGCCCCACACCCGTCTCGGCCTTTCTGAGCGGCTTGTCTGCACCAGCCGAGGCCTTGGCGTCTCCACGGGGACGTCACGCTTCTGTCGACGTGAGCACCTCAGTCTCCCTGGCCTCCGCCTGCCGCCTTTCTAGAAACTGCTCTTCTCTTAGGACGGGTACAGGACCCAGGTGGGCCACCCGGAGCCCACAGTGGGAGGTTGACACAGAGCGTGGGAGGAGGGGCAGGATTGCTACTATGGCACCACCAGGAGTGGATGTGAACGCCTGCAGCCTGCTCCCACACCTCAGCTGCCGAGTGGGGACAGGGCCTGCCGGGAAGGGGGCGCCCCACGGAGGAGCGCCCCACTCAGGCGGACTAAGAACGCGGGGTGGCGTCAGGTCTCACTGCACTGGGACAGGCCCCGGCCTCCTAGTGCGGCAACCAGGGGGGAATGTCTCTTCGTTCTAATCTGAATTAAGTTCCTCCTTTGCAGGGGAACGAACCGTAGCCTCGATAGCTACACGATCGATTATTTCGACTCTTTCAGGCTATTTGATGAGCAAACTGTCCAAGACGTTCAGCTGTGTTCTCCTGCAAAGCTGCACACCACGCAGGTGGCTCCACAGAGAACATTCCACCTGTCAGTCAGCAGGGCCCTCCTCTGAGAGTCAGACCCACAACCCGCCCGGCTCCTGCACTGAACTTTGATTCACGCGGGATTCGCTAGTTATAGCTACACCCTGAAACGGTATGCAAGAGTTTTGATTCCTTGTGCCTTATCCACAGAAGAGAGGAAAACCAAGTAACTCCCTAGAAGAAACACAAGGCTCTCGAAAACTTAATAAAACTGTAATTTTATGTATGTTTCTGAATAGCGAGTACTGAGCTTCTCAAAGGGACATTTGGGAGGAAACAGCCATAATGACCACATAACATATGCGCCAGCGACTTGGCTTCACATGTACAAACTGAGGGCTGCGTTCGAGTCCCCAGCGCTTATCCAATAATAGCACAACGCCAGAAATAACTACCAAACAGCTCCACAGCACGAGACGACGACTCAAGCACATCAAATTTTGCGGCGCCGGTGGACGCTGTTCTAGCTCTCTGGAGCCGGAGGCGGCGGCGGATTGTCAAGGTAGGAGTCAAACCAGCCTGAGCAAGAGCGAGACCCGCTTACTATAAATACGAAAAATTAATTGGCAACTGACTGTCCTAAGTATATATATAAAAATTCCGGCAGTGGCGCATGTCCTGTGTCCCAGGCTACGCGGGGAGGTGAGGCAGAGAGGATCGCTCAAGCCAGGAGTTTGAGGTTGTTGAGCTTAGGCTGACCAGACTCCAGCTCTAGCCTGGGCAAAAGCGCAGACTCGGTCTCAGAAAAAAAACGAAAATAATAATCATATTTTTGGTCTATCGTTGAAGTCCACGCGGCACAATGTTAGTGCAGTACGATTTTGAACTCGTATCACTGAATTCCGCACGGAACCCCAGGCAATGGTATTGAAATCCAGGAATCGAATTAACCTTTCTGGAAGGACGGTCAGTCAATTCCGTCTTGCTCCAGACACTGGGTGAGCAGGCCCCCTGGGGACACCTCACAGAGTGTTTTCCCTGCAGCCAAAGGCCACGTCATGGTGTCTCTGGTCTGGCCAATTTTCTAAACAGATATTACCAGCGGGGCCCCCTGGGCCACGACTCTGCACTAGAGACGGCCAGAGTCACCCTGGGCGTTGGGTCTGAGCGGAACACCCAGCTGAGCCCCTGCTTTTGGGAGGGCAGGTGGCCGAGAGAGAAAGGCCGTGGCTGCAAAGCGAGCGGACCTAGAGGGGCCGGACGCATCGCACAATCCAAGCTTGAGGGTCTCTCGCTGTTCCTGAGGTTTGGACTTCGATCTCAAACGCGCTTCCAAAGTGGCGGTCCGTTGGCTCGCCCGCGCATCAGCGGCAAGTGGCCGTGTAATTGCAAATTATCTTTGCTGTGATTCGCACTGGTTTAAAAGTTGCCCAGAAGGCCGTGGTTCCTACGGACGGTATGGCCACCGGCCCCGAGAGAAGTTGACTGAGGGGTGTCACAGGACACTTTGCTGTTTTTTTGTATTTTTTGTTGGAACAGACTAAAACTTCTTTTTGTTTGAAAAACACAACACAAAACCACAACATAAAACCAGAAGGGTGTCTTGGGGGTCCTTTCAATGTGCTCCTGCAATGATAGTTTGCCATTGGTGCCTAAATCACAATCTCTGTGAGAACAATCAGGCACGAATGTGAACTTGCTAATGCTAGTTATAGCCTGAAATGAATACGCATTTCACTCAATCTATGGCAATAAAATATGTGGAGAAAATGGAATGGCCGTAATAATGATTAATTTCCTTTTTAAAGATATTACATTGCATAATTCACCAAGTCCATACACTTTGACTCAATGCCAAGTGGTAAATGAAATGCCATATTGAATATTTCATGTATTTAGGATACAGGTGTGATACTGTTATTATACATTAGAACTTGGATCACATACCCCCCCTGATCCTTTTTAGATAGTCATTGGATTTTTTTTGTAATTTTATTCTCAAATACATACCCATCAAACTTGATTGCAAAGAAATGGCAATCAGGAACATACTATGTTTATTCAATTAGGTATGATTCCTCTATGTCTAGTGGTTACTATGTTTTTTTATTGCAGCATATTATGGGGGTGCAAATGTTAAGGTTACGTATATTGCCCATGCCCCTCCACCCCCTTGAGTCAGAGCTTCATGTCAGAGCTTGTATCTTACCATATGCAAATAAGTACAGGTAACTTAGGACATTCTTTAAATATTTAGTAAATCCCGTCCCCATGCAGACAGACCCACTGAGAGCTCTGAGCAGTCAGGCCCAGACAACCTCAGCCGAACCAGGTTTGACTGACAAGTGTTCGTCTCTGTATCTGCACAAAAGCAAACTGAAAGAACCAGGCCTCCTCCCAATTTCTGAAAGCACAGCAAAGTGGAACTGGGCACAGGCTTGACTCCCCATCCTAACTGAGTAAATTCTCCAAAAGTGGACAAATTTTACTTGTATGTTCTGGTACTGCAGGATTAATGTTTTTACTCAGGATCAATTTAAAATGCAGGGAGAAGTTTATTTATGTACAAAAGCCTATAAACGGGACCATCTATAACCGCTGGAGAGGTTTCCTGCCTTCCCAAAGCTTACCAACTAAAATTAGGAATTCTGAAAAAAAAATTCCACAAAACCCTCACAAATAGCTTCAGAAAGCTGTTACCTAAGGTGCTTAAACTTGAGCTCCACTATTCTGACATTGTTGTGGGAATTTGCTCCAGGCCCCGTCTACGCAGTCCCCTGCAGATTCCGCTCTTCCAGAGGCTCCTCCGGGGGGATTTGTTCCTGCCCTTCACCCCGCCGCACCTCTGCAGCCCCTCCTGCCTCCCTCTCTCTGCACCTTCCTTCTCCTCCTCCAGCCTGTCCCTGTGGAGTCCTCACGCCCTGAGGGCGCCTGGCCCTGGGAGGAAGGGCTGGTGGCCAGGGGTGACAGGGCTGGGGGTGACAGACCCCACATGCACATCCTCCCCGCAGAGGACCCAAGGACCCGGGGACTCGGTTTACCTTGCAGGGCTGTGTTTGGGCGCATGGGTTGGTGGTCGCTCGTGGGGTGGTGGCGACATTGCTGGAGGCGGCGGCACCGGCCTGAGCATGTCCCGGAGGCCAGCGCCTGCCACCCACCCCCAGCGGGACTCTTGGCATAAGGCGGGGAGCGCTGGGGCCTGCGTGGGGGGAGCCGGGTCCCAGGACAGGGCGGGGGAGGGTCGGCCCTGGAGCCTCTGCTCTCTCGTATTTTAGGGGCTCCTCTCTCG